TATGTCGACAGCAACTATGAGTTTAAAAATTATTTAAAAGCATTTATAGTATATTTCTTGGCAGTAGATCATACGTCAATAAATAAGTGAGACTCAACTCTCAGTCAGGGTACACATCACATTTTCGGTGATCACTGAAGACAAACTATACTGTCATCTGTCATACTCATTCGGCTATAGTCTATTAGAGCATGTATACCATCACCATGACAACTTGACATTGACTCATTAGATACCCTTGAAAATGCAGTACGCGTCTATCATAATAAGCAATGACTGACGGGGCCTTTAATGTTTGAAAAGAGGAACGCAATTAAAACTTGAATAACAGTTTATCTTTCATTTTATCTATTTAGTTTTTCATATTAGACAATTTGAATACATTCTATGAAGAAATGGAGGAAATCGACGAAAACAGTGAGGTTATATGTTATGGACCTGATTATCTTGAACTCGCCAACGAACTTGTAAATGTCACTTCGGATCGGTGAGTCAGGCAATGTTATGTTATTGTCACTGTGGTTACCGCGCCTCATTGGGTAAGGTACTTATACATGTACCACAAAGTCCTAAATGTCTTGCGCTTTTAAGATTTTAACATGGGAATAGCTTTAAACATGAATACGTTCAAGTTATTCAATTAAAGACAATAGAATGAACATATAATTAAAGGGTGGCTGTCATCGTGCCGCGTCCTGTTCGATATGGGACTCATAGCGACGTATACAACGCGTGTAAAATACATTGTTTATCTGTTTAGTATACTGCATAACTTTATGATGTGGAAGCTGTTAGACTCCGTGGCATATTATCTATCGGATCCATTCAGAGACCAATATACCAAGTTTCACAATCTACTTGACGGGAAAAGTGGAAAAAGAGAAAGATGGAAGGAATGTCAAGATGAATGTAACATCGTGTTCGACATGGCTGTCGGAGCAATGTTTGTAAGGGAAGCTTTCTCCGAAGACGACAAAGCAGAAGTGAGTGTGTTTAGCATTGTGTGATCGTTTTAATGCCAAACTTGAAAAAAACGAAAACCTTTATCATGTCGATAATTCTAAAAGTTCGTCTGTTTGAGGGGGGGGGGTTACTCTGGATTACTCACTAACGGGAAGTGCCGTATTTAGCACTAATACATTACTATCTGATTTAGTCATAAATGCTAGCAGATATAATATATGATGGACTAATTTTTGACGTCTTTAAAAGACATGCAAGAACTAAGCATAAAACCTGATCAAAAATAATTGTTCAATAAATTCTAAATCATAGTGTGAAAACCAATTATCTTCGGGATTGGATTGGTAGTTTGTCATTCCAGTTACGACCATGATCTAGTTTAACACTCAATATTCAGTACAAAAGTGACGGCTTGACATGTCATTGTCTAAAAGGTTCATGATACACCTCCCTGTCGGTGTGCTTGAGAGTAATCCCCTCTCGGATGAGGTTGGGGGATCGTGGTACAGAGGACTCACTGAAACGTGCAGCTTAGAATATGTCTGTGTCGTATATTGTTCAGATTTTGTTTTCAAGTTGTTATACACTAGTCCTCATTGACCATAAAGAGCAGCTTTGGTTAAAATAACCCGAATTTACATTGACACATGTTGCTGTAATCAATTGGAGAATGTGATTACATGTATATCAATACCCTCCTCAGCAACATTTCACTATGTGGAGTTACTGAAAATACTCAACGAGTATGGGTGTCATATTTGTAGTATATACCACATTTTTACCACGTTTGTACTACGTTTATACCACGTTCATACCACGTTTATACCACGTTTAAACCAAGTTTATACCACGTTTATACCACGTTTTCACCACATTTATACTACGTTTTTACAACGTTTATACCATATTTTTACCACATTTATACTACGTTTTTACGCCGTTTATACAATATTTTTACCCCGTTTATACTACGTTTTTACCACGTTTATACTACGTTTTTACCACATTTAAACTACGTTTATAGCACGTTTTTTACCATGATTGTGCCATAAATAAGTTTGTAACATGTTCCATAGGTAGAAGTTATGATACAAGATATTAAGGATGCTTACATTGATGAACTACCAAATATAGATTGGATGGACGACGAGTCGAGGAGTAAGGCAGAGGCGAAGGTAAGAGTAGCTTACGTTGGGAATTAGAAATCAATTGATATCGCTATCAGCAACAAACTGTCTTCTGTCTTCAATCACCAAGACACTTACGACACTAAACATTGTCACCGTGGAGCATTGAATGAATGGTTGTAATTGATAAATTATACATTGTCGTTGTCTAACTATTGCCCAGCCACACGCCATTATACAAATTATGTTCGCCTGCAAGTATGTTTCGATACATTATATCCAATACGTTATATCGCATTTTGACTTAACTTATACTAGTTATCTGACAACTATATATTCCATTTATGTTTACTTTATACTAGGCGAAATTGATGGGATATGAAATAGGATATCCAGATTACATTCTTAACACAACGGAGTTAGATGCGAGATGGGAAGGGGTATGTTCTACGTTTAATAAAGTTGTCACGTGACATACGTCATTCGTCTTAAAATAATTTTAATTGAAACAATGTATATATTTAAAGTTTTTACACAATTTCTGAAAAGATATTTTTTCATATTGTACTTTATTCTTCAGTTTGAAGTGAACCGCACCCAATTCTTCGTTAATCGAATGTCTTTTCATCGACACCGAAATGAAGGTACCATGAAATGGATATTTAAAGAACCTAACCCAGATGAGTGAGTCTTTACACATGTGATGTTATTAAAACTAATCTGCAGCCAACCTGTGTTAAACATTTCGTATTTACTAATGAGTCATTTCATTATATTTAAAAAGGAAATAATATGAAAAATACAACTTCTAAATTGAATGAACCTTTATTTTCATCTACATATTACAATTATTCGCATGAGTATCACGTGTCATTTGAGCGATATTTGATGTTACTGTAAACAGTGACACAACTCAAATATATATTACGAGGTTACGGGGTCCAATTCAGTTAGGCGATGTGCAATATAATTAGAATATTGCAAACAACCTCATAGCAAAATAAACAAATTGACAGACGTATAATGGGACAAACGAATACTTCATATAAATGACATGTTCTGTATGCGAGTATTTTTTATAGAATATAAATAATATTTATCTGCTTTGAAGTGAAAGAAATGTGACATGAATTATTGATCCACATATCATTATTTAGTTTATATGCGTTTTTATTAGGTTATGACTTATTCGGGAAATCTAATTACACTTCGTTGATGAAGTATATCAATAACTTTTAATTTAATAAATTATTGTTATTGACTTTATTTAGATGGTATCTTCCACCACAGATTGTGAATGCATATTATGACCCAACAACTAATAACATGAGTAAGTATAGAGTTATTAATTAATGCGATGACATTCGAACAGCATATTGAACATGAAAATAAATATTCGGTAATAATATCAACAAATATCAGTATGGATACTGACACGAATTTCTACCGACAAATAATGTTTTGCACCAGACGACACCACGTCTCGTTCATCTCATTTGTTTGTTCGTTTTAGCTTTTCTTGCTGGTATATTGCAGTCCCCGATGTACAATCCCAGATACACAATGTGAGTACGCTACGACGCACTTTTTCTGCAAAATTCAATAAACACTATTTTCCATTAAAAACCGCCATTGCAAAACTGTGTATATTTTGTTTACTTTGATTTGACAGGGCATTTAATTACGGGGCTATTGGAATGGTGATGGGGCACGAGCTGACCCATGGATTTGACACGATAGGTATGGAGTGATGATATTTTCTTAATAGGTTAATGACAAGTTTCTGTTATGTCACCAACGTGTGTGTACCCAGATTTTCATTAATCGTCATCAACTTGCGCGAAACCCAAAATCTCAATAAGCAACTAATAACTTGTTCATTACGACGACTAGATGTGAACGAGAACGGGCCAAAATGGTGGATGTAATGACGTACTAAGATAAGTACTAAAACAAATATATATCCAACTTAATCAAATATATATTTTGCATTATACAAGTGCAAAATATGTTATGAGGAAATTAGAATATGCGCATTGGTCGATCCTGTCAAATCTCGTCATCTGTTTTGGGGCATG